TCAAGTTATTTGTCGTTGCGTCTGAGTGAGGTGCAAGTATTGTATTTTTGACAAAATAATAATTGTCTAAATACAATTTATTTGCCATATGCATATTTGATGTGGGACGAATAAATGTTCGAACGTATTAGATGCATTCATGTTACATGTATCAACTACTTCAACTAACATATAATTTGATAATAATTGTATACATTTATTTGTTTGTTTGAAGTCAATGTAATTTTGACACGTCAAGAAGAGCCTAAAATAGACAAATTTCAATACTTTGGCTTTTTAATTGGAAATAAATTGGAAGACTCACATGGGTATATTTGTAAATATGTTATATAAACATGTATATTTTTTATTTATATATAAATTATTCTTTTATATTTTCATACAACACATTCAAAATAAAATTTAGTATCAACTATCAATTCGTAATTGATCATTAAATCATGTAAATAGTTAGAGAATCAACAAAAATATTTAAAAATTTGTTATTCAAATATATTATTTTTAAATTTATAAATTTTTAGAAATTGCAAATGACACATAAGGCGTACGGCAACAAGTGTCCTCGATCGTCCAATGCAAAACGTTTCTGAAATGCTGAAACATTAAGAAATTAAAGTTTGTGTAATGCGTGTTGTTGAATTTTGAGCTTGCGAATGTCTAAGGAATTGTCATTATAATTACAAGTTCTGAAAACGTGAAGTTGATCATTGATTTATTATGCAAAATGACACGAGTGCGTGTGCATTATTAAAAGGATATATGATATATATATATATATCCACTAATAGTATACTGTTAAGTGTATATTTTTACACTTTATCGTATCTTTTTATTTGAGCTTTTGGTGTGTTTTAACGATAATTGGTGCTTAAAAAGTTGATTTATTGTATTTTAGGTACAAATTGAAGAATTGGAAAAGTATGGGGTCAAAACTGCAATTTTGGAGAAAATATGGGCCAAAAGTGAAAAAAGCAGAATTCTGGAGAATAGACCGCGCGGCCGTGCGGATTTTAGGCATAAATCTCACACGGCCGTCCGGATGGGCGAGTTGGCGCAGTGAGGGAATCTTAATTGTACAAGGAAACTGCCTTCTTCCCCAAGTTTTTCACCCTATATAAGACCAAGCCAAGCACACAATTAGGGATCCATCTTTTTACGCAATTTCAAGAGCAACAAAGCAATAACGAAGACTCCAAGCATAGATTTATCGTCTATGATTTATTTTCCTTGCGTTTTTGATTTAATTATGAGTAGCTAAACTACTTATTTCTAGGATTTTATTTGGAACCCTATGTGGGATTTATGAACCCAATTCTATGATTTTATGCAAGTTTTAATTCCGGATTATTTCTTCTACTTGTTTTATTAAGTGCATGAACTTGATCAACTTATGTGCTTTTATGTTATTGTTAATCGCATGAATCGGAAGATCGGGTTAATAATTAGAACTGTGGTAGAAGAGCCTTTGTGGTATTAACATAGGAATATAGTTAATCTCTTAGGTAGCCATTATTGAGATTTGTGCTTAATGCTGTGTTCTAGAATTAATTGCATAGGAATATAGTAATTGAATCTAGAGTATTAGAATCGTAATACACGCGGAAGCGGGTTATGATTATTTTAGCATCTCAGGTTAATAATCCGGGTTAATTGCTTGCATAATTGAGGGAATTGGGGGAGTAATAATCACATAGGGGGAAGAATAAAATCCTAGGCTTGTCTACTTTGATTAAATCTTCGTTTTTAATTGCTTTCTTGTTTTTGCTTGTTTTTAATTTAGTTTAATTTAGTTTATTCTCTCAAAACTCGACTGTGTAGGGTGGGCTTGATAATAATTGGTAGAATTTAGCGTCTAGGATTAAGTAATTAAATATTCCCTGTGGGTTCGATATCCGGACTTAATTGTCCACTATATTACTTGTACGATACGTGCACTTGCGTGTAGGTTTTCGACCAACATATACCTGCCTCATTATGCTGTTGGAAAAGTCAACGCTTCACATATTGTTCAATGGCATCACACAATAGTAGAAAATTAAAAATTATAATGTAGAGAATTAAATAATGAGAAGATATCATTAGGGAATTAATATTTCTTGATTCATCATAATATTATTTTTCCCGATCCTTACGGAAGTTGAATTATCGTAACGAAATGGATTTTGGATATCTCTCAAAACTACCTTCAAGAAAACAACGTAACTTCAGAGATGTTTAGTGACGAAAAAGTAATTGAAAGCATCAAATAATAAAGATGATGAAATTGAAAACAGTACTACTATAAATCCCGTATCTCCGACGGAAATTCTTAGAGCACCAACGCTATTGAACAACATTTTCTACACTGGAAGTTCTTACATAATAAGAGAAAAGTGAAGGATGAGATTTAATGTGACATTGTCAACTTTAACAAGAAACAAAAGATAATCAAATTATATTTTCAAGTTTTTATAGATTTATCATAAATTTAATCTACCTGCATGTATTTGGAAAGTTATTTTTATACATTATTAATTTATATATTAGAAAGGGTCTATAAAAATTTAGAATACCTATTATCTTATAAATTTAGCGAATTATTAGTTTAGCACGTTGTCATTCAGTATAAAATGTTTGATTAAGAAAATTTAAGTGTTTCTTAAGCAAAATTTGTTTGCAAAGAACACATGAACCAGCAATTTAAGCCAAAATAAAATAAAATTGCCAGCTTATTTAATGATATCCAAAATTGCCTCTAATGGTGGGTCGTCTTCTGCTAATAATAATTGTTGTAAAATAATAATAACTATATTAAAAGATTACCAAACACAAATAATTGAGAACTGGCATTTAAATACAATAATTGACAACTAATACTTACATATATTCACAATTAATTTCTTCTAAAATGACAGTCAAAATTACGACCCTTGTTCATTGAACACGTGTTGTCGCCTTATTGAGGCCAACATATATTTTTTATATATTCAAAATATATTAAAATTGAAATATTCATACTTAGATGGTGTTAGCAAATGCTTATTTAAAAGCACAAGTTAGTGATCGTGAGTTAAGTTGGTTTTAAGTGATTATTTCTAAAAGTTAGGGGTGTTTGCATATATATTCTGGAAATGAACTTAAATAGAAAAAATAGGTATATGGATGCTTTTAAAAAAATAGTTTAAAGCAACTTATTTTAAGAGAAACAAAAGCAAAAGTTTATTTTACAAACACCTAAAAAAGATTATGAGTAAAAAAAAAGCTTATAATCACTTTCAAAAAACTTTTGTAAACACCACCTTAGTTTTCTTGTTGTAAGCAAGTTAAGCTATCATACACACTCTTAATTAAGATTGCCATCATCTAAAAAGATATTTAATTATGAATATTCTGATCATAAAATACGAAGTTTCTTAACTTTTTTTTCCGAATTTAGTTCTTTTTTTCACGACTTATGGTATATATTATTTGAATTTCTTTGAGCCAAAATATAGTTTAATGAAAAATACGCGGTATTTGTTGCAACGACTTTTACAGTTACTGCAAACTAAATACTTCTAACTAGGAAACACACAATATATCTTTTTTGAAAAATGGTTGCAAAAACGAAAGAACATGTCGGTTTATTAAGGTGTTAGATGCATACATGTGGTTATTTACATAAGATAGATTTTAACTGTATATATATCTAATTAAATAAATATCCATTAAACACACATACACATAGTTGTATGTGTATAATTATGTGTCAATTTACGGTTGAAATCCACTTAATATAAACAATCAGGTGTAGGTGTAGCATCTAATTAGTAATTACCCGATTTTATTCATTAGTTTGTTAACAACTTTATGTGGGACGTGGTTGCCACGAAATGTTACTGAAATAATTTTTCAATGAAATTACACATGGGTCCATTAATTTATGTGAAATTAATATAGTTTATTATAGGTTTGCCAATCATTTTTTATTATTATTATTATGTATCTATGATAATAATTATTGTTGTACGTATATCCGTTCTACAAGTATAATAATTCACATATAGAGTGTAATTTTGTCGTCGTCAACTTATTTTTTGAAAGCTCAAATACAAGTTTGAATAAAGTTTTACGATCTCGAGCTCAAACCAACCTATTTCTTAGAGTTAATGCTCAAACTCGAGTTTTTCGGTAATTGAGTTTAACAAGTTGGGTTGTGAGCTTTTATTGTTAATTTTTAGTAGTTATATATACATATGTATAAAGAAAAATATTCATTAATTGGTTTGTGGGATTTTGAAAACTTAAACATGATCCTCAAGACCTCGAGTAATTAGATAAAATCGCGCTTGTGAGTTCGAGCTCGAGTTTTTTAAATGTCATTGTGTTAATTATTGAGTTCAATTATAGGACTGATTGATTTATTTACACTTCTAACCTGCCAACAATTTATGTAAGTCCGTAAATGAATAAAATACTAAATAATCCCGTATTTCTTAATAAAAAATAGTAAAGAATAATAATAAAAATAGTTCAACACCAGAAACCTATTGGTTGCTTATTAAAAAATGGGGCAAATAACGGTCGGCCCCTCGATGTAAGGTCAAATAACGAAAAAAGACCCTATTGTTTGGATAATTGCAACCGCCTTCTTGCATTATCTTACACATTCACCCTTACAGACTTTAGTGCCAGATTTACTTACTGAATGTCGGAGGTTTTCATAAGACAATACATAATTAATGGGTGATTGTAATTATCCAAGTATAAAGGGAGTTTACGTAATTTATCCTTAACTAAGGGAGGGATTTGTTGTAATTTAACTTTGTTTTAATATTGGTTATTATTGCTTATAAAAAAATAATATTGGTTATTATTATTAATATTTATTTCCCCTCTCTTGTTATCGAATCAATAGTGGGGGCATCTTCATAGGTAACAACGAAAAGGGACCCAAGACAATCAGCAAACGCCTTAAATGAAAAATCCAACTCATATTTCTCAATTCACCATATATTAATAAAAAAAAATAATAACGCCTTTCTCTCTCTCTCTCTCTCTCTCTCTCTCTACTTTCTCTCTCACACACACAAACAGGCATCTTACACTCGCGCACACACAGACAACACTCTTTGTCCCCTTCTCTCTCACACAGTCGAGTCTTCTCTCTCTCACACAGTAGAGAGTCTTCTCTCACCGTCATAGCCCAGTAAAACAACTGCTCCCACCCACCACTCACCGCCACCCGAATCGGAAAAAAATCCTCTTCTTCCACCGCCAACCACCGCGCCGCCGCCACTGCTAAACCGAAATTCCCCCCGTCAAATCGAATAAACAAACAAAAGAACAAGCCATAAAAATCAAAAAAAAAAAAAACCCCAAATATATTGACCGCCTCCGCCACACGCGCGCACACCGCATCTCCTCCATTTTTTCCAGCTCACTCTTCTTCACGCCTTTCTCTCTCTACAAATATTAAAATTCCTAAATTCCGACGTAGTATTATTTGATTTTTTTTTTTCGTTTGAAAAAAAATGGTGGAGCTTGCACAGAATCAAGCAAGCTGAAATCAGTTCGGAGAATCTCTCCTCATTCTGAATGTCGAAAGAGGAAGACGCCCCAAAGGTATTCCGCGCCCTCAAAGATAGAGCGGAGCGGAAATTCGCGCGCGTGCGCGACGCGCCGCTGCATCCGTACGGCGGGAGCGGCCCGCAGTACGGCCATTTCTTCCACACGGTTTTCAAGGCTCACATGAAATTGTGGAAGTACCAGCAGCAGAATCGGGCGAAATTGACGGAATCGGGGCTCCAGCGATCGGAAATTGGGGAGATCGCTTCCCGAATTGGTCAGCTCTACTTCAACCAGTACCTGAGGACCAGCGAGGCTAGGTTTCTTCTCGAGGCGTACATATTTTACGAGGCGATTTTCAACAGGAAGTATTTTGATGGTTCGGCCAAAGATCGAAGTATTAGATTTAAGGAATTGAGGTTTTATGCCAGGTTTCTGATGGTTTCTCTGGTTCTGAATCACGTGGAGATGGTGAAGTTGCTGGTTCAAAAGTTCAAGGAGCTCGTCGACTACAGTAAAGCTGATTTTCGGGTAATGAATTGTTATCCCTTCCTTTTGAACTGCACTAAGTTTTACAGCTCGATTCGTATGAATATCAGTTAGTTTACATTTGAATCTATCACTCATATTTTCAATTATGTCAGTTAGATTGATTTTTTTCAAGGGATTTTTGTTCCTTCAATTTAATTTGTGAAGCATTGATCAATATTTCTTCTATATGTTTGCCAATTAGTATCATTATTTGTTGTTTCTTATTTGAGTATGTATCACTTTTATTATTGATTTTGTCGACGACCTATAATTGTGCGGCTTTTTTCCCCATTTTTGTGAATTCATATTAGACTGTCTCGTTTGGGTTGATCTGAGAGCATGTAAAGTTCAGTATTCAAGAGAGTGAAGGTGATAATTGAGATCTGAAAATGAACAGCTAATTATCGGATTTGACCATCTTGAAACTATGTGGTGCTCTGGCTGTAACTAGTGCATAATATAAGATTGTTTGACAAATTAAAAAAAAAAAAATCGGATCAATATACTCATGCACGATGCCAGCGTCCAAGAAGAATTCAAAGAGAATTATTATATGTGTAGTCCAATGACAATTATGAGGTAGCTTTCACGGTAAAGTAAAATAATAACCCCTATCGGTATTTTCATTCTCACTTTAAAATACATTTTTCGAGTAACTATTTGTGATATTTGGAGTCCATTGATAATGTTTGCTACCCTTCTTTTGTTATTGTAAACAAGTAATTGCAGTTTATTGATATTTCTGATTGCACTTGGAGCACCGTTATACTTGTCCTCTTTGAAAATTTGAAAGAGACACATAAGCTAAAACCTGTAGACTAAGTCTCTCTCCCTTTCAGATCATATTGTTTATTCATTTGCAGAAGTGCCAAGCATTGTTGGTAGCTTAATAGCTTTGACTTTTTGTTGTTTGTTACTTTGTCTTTTACATAAACAGTGGATAAAATAAAACTCGTGATTCATTTTAATGTTGACTGACAGTAATGTTATGTTGATGTTTATTAGTTAGTCGGCAAATATTATTACCATATCTACCATTTGGCGACAAGTTACTGGTTAATCAAAGTCATTTGAAATCTTCTTTATAATGCCGAAAAGTCAAATAGTTTTGTCATTTATGGAAAATGTTGAATTGGATTACAGGTTCGTGCATGAATATATATCTTATTAAGTGTAACGACGAATGAAATTTAATTTGTATATCTGACAATCTAGGAAATTACTTCGGTATGGAACTTGGTATAATTTTATCATTATCTGTTTGTTTGTGGGTATCATATTGTTGTATGAACAACGCACAGCAAATTTTGTCACTCTCTACGAATAATTACCTGATGTTCTATTAAATGAAGGACTGCAATAGGTGCATAACTACTTAGATCAGAGCAAGGAAATTTATTACTGAAAGAATACCTTTGTATGTTTTTCGATATGCTAGTTCAGAAGTTGTCTGAAATTACTAGCAAGCAAATTTGTGCTCAAGACCAATTATGGTTAGGTGTTTATAACTTGACCTGTAAATTTTGAAATATATAATTTTGAGCATACTTATCAAGTACGAGTCTATTAACTACCATGAAGGAGTCTGGTAATAGAATGTGGGCATATACGGAAAGTTGTGAGGCAAGCAGCTCTGTAAATTGGATCCTTCTAAACATTTCTTATTCCACGTGGGTTTCAGCCACGTGAAATATGCCATTTTGTTGCATACACTGGTTGCCTATCTTGGATAGACTAGATCCATTAGATACGATGTATCACGTATGATTCCTTTTTCCCCTATTTTTCTATTTTTGCACTCGATAACTTGCAATATGGTTGTCATGTATCCATTAACTGAATTTGTTGCATAACTGCACAACCATCTAAATAGATTTCTCCTCTAGGACACCAACTTCAAAGAATGGAAGCTTGTGGTGCAAGATATCGTGCGGTTTACAAAAGCCGATTCAGCTGTCTTAAATGCTAGACCATTGCGTTATACTGCCACGTTAGATTCGCATCCAGCTTCAGCTACATATGTGGCCCGTTATCATGCTAAGAGACTTCTGAAATTCAGAGATGCACTGCTAACAAGCTATCACAAAAATGAGGTTACGGATTTTTTTTATTTTTATTTTTTTTGTGAAGAAATTTAGTTGCTAGAATTTATCCACTTCAAGTATACTTAACTGTGGGCAGTGCTCTATACAACATTCCAGGTGAAATTTGCAGAGCTCACTTTGGACACTTTCAGAATGCTTCAATGTTTGGAATGGGAACCTAGCGGATCTTTCTACCAGAAACATTCTGTTGAAGCGAGAGAAAACGGTGGACAAGCTGATCATTCTATTACTTCGGGATTAATAGATGTGAATTTGATGGCCGATATGACGGATCCAAATTTGCCTCCTAATCCTAAGAAAGCTGTTTTGTACCGTCCGTCTGTAACACAGTTGATATCCGTGAGTGCAAGTTCTTGAAATGATAATTTACCCTTTTCATTTTATATCGAATTAGGGCTGCATGAAAAGTTTGAACGCATTTTTTAACTTCAAGAAAGAAAAACTATTTGCTTACATGACAAGCTACCTGAAGCTCTAACAACTGCCATTTCCTTGTTCATCTATTTACGAACAGGTTATTGCGACAGTTTGTGAGAAACTGCCACCAGATCATGTTATGCTTGTGTACTTATCCACCTCAGGTTGCTTTTCACTGACAATTGAATGATTGGTTGCTTTTTTGAGGTCATTATTTATTAGCATCCAAACTGAACATCAATGTGAATGCAGGGACTTCTGGTAATTGTAGTACTTCGCAAATGGAAAACCCTAAGATATCAAGAAAATATGCCATGTCCAGTGGCCCTGCCAACAACCACCATGAACAAAGCAATGGTTTTTGTGAAAATCATATTACTACTAATGGGGATTCAGATCAATATTTCAAGAATTCTTTGTCTTTAGGTCCAAGCAAAAATGGAGGTAGGAAAACTAAAATATCCTTATTCTAGTTCTTCTCCGTACTATGAAACGATTTTATCCATGATGAGTTGTTTTTGTTTTTGTCCTCTAAATCGAACTCACTGTCTATTGATAAATGTTTTGCAGATTCGGATAACTTGTTCCCCGGTGATATAATTCCTTTCACAAGAAAGCCTCTTTTCCTGATAATAGATAGTGATAATAGTCATGCATTCAAGGCAGGTTTGTTGAAACTTTGTTGAACTTATAACTGTGCATTTCCACGCGTAACTCTGTACTCTAGCAGCATTTGGGGGGGTCCAGTACAATAAAAGTGATACGTTGGATAATATTTCATTAGGCATGTCTAGTCACATTTTTCTAGATGACAAAATTATGATTTGGTTGTGTATCAGCTAAAATTTCCAGCCAAAGAGCTCTAATATAATTCATATTTGACGTGTTTAAATGTGTATAGTAATTTGTGTTGTTCGTTTCACATTGTGCTGATGCAATGAAACAAGTAATGCTCATTAATGATAACTTTAGTTATTTGAGAAGAAAAGCTCGGCATAAAAGTCAATCTCCAAGTTCGGTTGTAATTTCTGCAAATGTCAACATGTCACATGCATTAATAATAATTGATTTGTTGAAACATGGAAATAGAAATAAATTTATTTCCTCCTAGTTTCTTAAGATACTTGGACAGGATTATATTGTTGTTTCTTCAATTTGGTATATATAGTTATCCGACATGCATCACTATACTTATTGCTAATATTAATGAAACGCGGATATGTGCCTTCGTAATGTATATAATTGTGGAAACTTTGCTGGAAAGATATAAAGAAAAAAAAAATTCGTGTAGAGTGCTAATATGCTAATTGCGATTCAGGTTCTACGAGGAGCAGAGAGGGGTGAGCCTGCAGCTTTATTTCTTTCTCCCTTGGCCCCTTCATTCAAGAATTCGATCGGTATAGATATGGCACGACATGGAAGTCAGTTCACCTTCTTCCTGACTGCTCCTTTGCAGGCTTTCTGCCAATTAGTTGATTATAACTTAACCAGTGATGACATGGTTAGTGCGTGCACCTATAATCGATCGAACTTTTTAGAAACTAACTCTGTTTGTATCTCTAATTGTTTCTGTTTAAATGTTTTATGTTAGGATATTTACAAGAACGTGGAAAGCATTCTCTCCACTGCCTTCTCAAAATGGGAGGAAATCCTCTGTACTTCAACTGAACTGGATCTGGTTTGGGCTCAACTTCTATGCGATCCATTTCTGCGCCGCCTTATTCTTAGGTACTGTGTTTTTGTCTTACTCGTCTCATGATCGTAAATTGGACTAGGATGCTGGAAAAACTAGAAGGCTTATTTCAAGTTATATTAAATAGTATCTCGATTTTTGCACATCGCTCCTAGTGATATTTTTTATACATTTAAACTGAATTCCATTAAAAAAAACGAAAGGAAAATACGAGGCCATATAATAATAGCCAATTTTCTTGTTGATAAATTTAGGCTACAATATAGCAAGAAGTAGAACCCTTTAAAAACAGCTCTTACAAAGTATGATTTAAAATATCACCGATGGAAGTATTCGTGATGTTAATGCCATGTGCGATGATGTCATATTTCATATTCTCCTCAAGTTTCTTGGTTTGCGATATGGGAGTTTATAGAACATATTTCAGAACTAATGCATACTGTTTGTTGTATTAGTACTTAGTGGTGGCCAAGAAATATTTCGATTTTCTTTGAATTGTTTATACCGTGACCTAACTTAATTATTGAGCTATGATTTTAATTTCTCCAGATTTATTTTCTGCCGAGCTGTTCTCAATCTGTTTTGCGCACGTGAAAAAGGTGATCAATATCTGCCCGTTTGCCTGCCTGAATTTCCCGATTCAGTAGGTGTCAACTCCAAAGCCGTGCAACCTGCAATCGCCGAAATCGCGGAACATTTTAAGGTTGCTCATTGTTTTAGATTCTCGTGAAAGGCATGGCAATGTGTATATCGAAGAAATCGGCATGTTTATTAGTTTAGTGGCATCTCTGTGGGTTTTTTTTTTATACAAGATTTAGATATGTAATTTGTTCATACCTTGTGTAAAATAATAGAATCGAGTAGGTGTGTTTTGAGGTTTTTCCTTTTATCCATATTTATTCTTTTTCTTTCTTTCTTTCTTTCTTGTAAGTTTGTCTGCAGAGCTGTTGGTTAGAGTATGTGTGAATTTGGAAAGATGGATGCACAATAAATACTTGTTTGAAACTCTTAATAAAGTGAATGAATTGTTTCATGATCTTTGCCCTCAAGAATGGGGTTTTTACTGTCCCACAAGGGATGGCCTAACAGTTGGAATAAAAATTTATTGTCCCGCAAGTGTGTATTCAGTGTTCTAAAAATTGGCCGAGGCGGCTGATTAATCGTTCTTCGAGGCGGAGGGGGTTCAAAACCTTTACGAATTTAGTGTAAAGGTTTGAAAATCGGTTTTTTGCTTGTGAGGCGATTTTAGGCGGTCTGAGGCAGTTAAACTTTTAAGGCGGGTCAAACTCGGTGGCAAAAATCGGTTTTTTTTTTTTTTTTTTTATTCAAAATAAAAGTTAGGATTTTAATTAAAAAAATGAGTTTATGCTTTATTTTGTTTATGTTAACAGTTATTGTTAAAGAACTAATGATGTATGTCATGAATGTACAAGAATAAATGTAAATTTAAAAAATTTTGCCTTTTTATTTATATTTTATAAGGATATTTATGTATTATGATCTTATTATTATTAAACTTTTATTATGTTATTAGGATATATATACATGATGGAGATGTAACTATGTTTAAATATCTTTTTATATATGTTTTGAGTATTTATAAATAATATCTAGAAATATATTATATTACATTTTAAAAACAGATTTATTTTCGATTTATCACCGATTAATCACCGCCGCACCGATTAATCGGGAGTCGGTGCATGATCGCCTCCGACCCGATTACCGTTTTTTACAACCTTGGTATTTATTAGAGCAAATAACGACCAACCCCCGAGGTAAGGTCAAATTATGAAAAAAGAACTCATCATGTTTGCATAATTACAAGCACTCTCTCAACTATGTATTATCTTACGAAAAATCCCTCTTATCGATAAATTTATGGATGTTTATTCGGTAAAATTGTCCAGAAATTGCGGCGTACGCCAAAATTTCAAACCGTTTAGCGTTGGTTCGATAAATAACCGAATTACCAAAATTTTATTAAAAATATTTAAAATTTTGTTTTTTTAATTAATTTTAGTTTAGATACAAATATATATATATATATATATATATATATATATATATATATATATATATATATATATATATATATATATATATATATATATGAGCTAATTTTGGATGGCTGAAAAAACCCTCTTATTAAAAAAATTAGCAAGAATCCCCCTATGTTATATTTTATGAAGCACGCTGCCCCTTATTTTATTTTTTACGATTGACTTAAGTGAAATGACAAAATTACCCTTACTTCAAAATAAAACAAAATACTCAACCAAAAAAAAAAAAAAAAAATTGAAAACAAAATCCCAAAAAAGAAAATACATGAAAAAGAAAAAGGAGAGAGATTCATCTTCCTCGCACCACCCACCCCGTCTCCTACTCTATCCCCCAACCTTAAACCAAACAACTCTCTATCGAAGACCTTAAATGGTACATCCGCCGCCGCACACGTGGGAAAGTGAAACGACATTTTTTAATAAAGGGTAAATTACAACCACCCCTGAGGTATGGTCAAATTACGAAAACCGCTATTATGTTTGGGTAATTACAAGCACCCCTCAACTATAAATATTTTTACACATCCACCCTTGCGGTTTCAAATTTAGTGGAATCTTCGAGATTATATGGAATATTATCATTTTTCTACCCATTTTATCCCATTCGAACTCTACATTTTGAAGCAAGATCATAATATATGGTTTTTGCCTTATATATATCAGATCGTGGTGCATAGAAAACTATATTTTTACACAAACGAGTACAAACTAGAGCACATTCCACGAAATCTAGATGATTATGTTGAATTTGACACCATAAGGGTGGAGGTTAAGAAAAATCATAGTTGAGGGGTAGATATAAGTATCCAAACAAGAGGGGTTTTTTTGTAAATTGATCATACCTCGGGGGTGGTTGTAATTTACCCTTTAATGAAATATAAATCGGATCGGGTCGAGGGTAATTGGGATTGAAAACTGCCCGAAAGTCCGAAACCTTCTCCACACACACTCAGATGAGAATAGAAAGAAGAAAACCAACATCAAAACATTTCATTTCACGTCTGGTTGAAATGGAGAAGATGATTCCCCATTTATAGATATTAATTCATAAAGTGCTACTAGAAATAAAATGCTACTACATCTAACACAACCTATAAAAGTGTTAAACTTAGTATTCAAATAAAATGCTATTTGACTTAAAAAAATACCATTTTTTTTCTCACTTCAATACAATCAACATAAAAAATAAAAAAATAAAAAGATAATTAATAGGTAATGTCATTATTACCCTCAATGAAAATCAATACGACACACATAATTTGACGTTATTGATTTTATTAAGGGTATTAATGTCATTACCTATTAATTTTTCTAATTTTTATGTTGGTGGTATTGAAGTGAGAAATAAACGGCATTTTTTTTAGTCGTCCCCTACAGAAGTGCTACACCCGTTTTTACGTTTCTTTGTGCCTTTCAATTTTGGACCGTTACAGAAAGCCACCGTTTACGAGTAACCGAAATCGTCGACGGCCGTGGATATGGGCGTCGAAGGGAGGTTGTTATGGCGGCGGCCGTGGTGCAGGCGGTTACGGTGGTGACTGTGGCTACTCTTCCCGTGGCGGTGGCGGTTCTAAAAGAAACTTCAAATTTAGTTGCATTTTTTAAGTAATTTTGTGATCAAGTTTTCAGATTTCGTTTTTTCTTTGGTTTTTATGGCTACTCTATTTTTTAGAGGTTTTAGCATATGGGACCCTGTGTAAAAACAATTAGCACATATCCCCTTGTGTTACATAGTCAGCGATATTAAGGCCCTTACGAGCTGGTCGTGTGATTCTCTTGCCAAAAATGCGACTCGCGTTCGATTTTTGGATGTGAAAAGACACAAATACCCTTTACATTATAAATTTCAAAAATAAGCCCCAATTAAAGTTTTCAATTTTCAATTCAGTCTCTTAAAGTTTCAGAAAAGTCCTCTTCTTCCTTAAGTCAGAGACTGATTTAGAATTTTCCAAAAATAGATTGAACATAACTGAACGCCGCTCTCCTTCCGGCGAGCACTCTCTCCGGCCTCACCTTCCTCCATATCCTCAGCCTCCGCTTCGCCCCACCACTCCAACATTTTCTCCGACGAAATTCAGTTCGGATTGGAGCTAAGATTCAAGCTCATTATTCTTC